GGAATGTAATAAAATTGTTTCCAGTGGTTTGCATTCGAATAAACTTTTGACCGTCTAAGGTTTATAAGCGTGTCATTTATGGAAACCTATAGCCTATTGTAACTGTGTAGAATAGGGTCATATAAGCTGGAAAGTATTCGGAAGACATGCATATATAGTAGCTCCTTATGAAGTCATTCAGTCGTGCATATAACTTTAATACTGATGTTGCTTGTTGTCTGAATGTTAATTGCTGTTCAGAGTCTTCTGTAAATATCCAAAAGAAGCAATAAATTAACGCACGTTAGGCTTGATAAACATAGTGTTTATATTTACAAATCAATCGACTTTTTAAACATCATTTCAAATAAAAGTATGCATCCAAACAACCTTGTAATTTCTCCTCTGAGACCAAATTTTCTCTATTTTGTCTTTCTGGTCAGATTATAATTTATGGGTGACCTTCGGGAGACGCTTTGGTGACCTTGAAATAAGTAAAAGCTGTGGTAAGTATATCCAACCAACACTCTAACCAGTATAGAAACTCAGTAAAATGAAATGCTCATGTTAGGAATATATTTCACTTACCCAGAAAATATTATATTCTGTCTCACGGACGAGCAATCTACTCCAAAAGAAGAATTTTACGCGGAATGCAAAAATTAATAACCGTTTGTTAACAAGAAACTTTCATGAACATTGGTAACGTGCCTCAGATACAACTATAGAAAGTTATATAATCATATGTGACAATTTCCAGAAGACAGTGTTGGATAAGCCGAAGATTTGGTCGATGTTAAAAGTCTTGAAAACACCAAGAAGTCAGCTTTTTTCTAAATCTTTAATAACTGAGAAATAGTGAAACATTCTGGACATATAATGCTCAAATGCAAAGAGCGATAGAACAGACATTACATGCAAATGTAGATGAAGAAATATTGTAGTGTCATTGAGCCCTAACCACTCAATCCTCAAAGTTGAACGCGAAAATACTGAGAAAATAGATATTCAACATTTAACGTCGAGAAAAACTCAACAATGGAGAAGGAGGGAACAATGAGTTGACTTAGTTCTAATTGATCGGATGGTATGGCTCAGCAGTGAAGACGTGGTTTTACATAAGTAACATTATTTTTATCCATATTAAATATATCGTTCTACCTCCAGTCTAAATGTGTTTTTCATCATGTATTGATGATTGTTACAACGCGATGTATCAGGGTAGACATTGGTGTGACTTCCACGTAACATCATATGGATTAGGCAGTTACACCATAACACACCTACAATTTTAGGATTAGGTCTATTATTAGAGCAGTAATAATATCGAAGTAGACCATAATTCTACATTGGTAAGCCGACTAAAGAAACATAACCTATTATTGTTAATCCTTATTTCCACTTTAACTTTCTCGATCGATTTTTACCTGTGTTAACCAGAATTTTATTAATCCTCTGATTAGTGCTCACGTGTATTATCGTAATGTTATATTGGTTAGTACTCATGGCATACTAACTCCATCGACACGGATAACCGGTCATCTATATCAATTATTAGTTTCGTTGGTTCATTAACAAGCTTTAGTAACATTTATATGCTTCAGCGAAATAAGCTTGTTAAAACATCAAACCTTTGCAAATATGACCTGTAAATAATCTAAATATACATTAACTAGCAACGTTAGCAAGTACCATAATTTTAAAATATCTCTTTATGGGGCGCATGCATTGGGGATTTTCTAAAGCATGTAGGCACATACACATACATGCCAAGTCAGCCAATCTTAGGTAGCTCTAGTATTCTCAACTTCAACAATCTTCTACCAACAACAACCAGGTTTGACATTATCCTTGAAAGAGCACCCCAACTTCGATCATTTATCCTTACTCTTCAAAATACCATCAGCTATTAGGCCTAAGTCTAGTGGGTATCCTACTATGTTCATACAGATGCTTCAAAACAAACAATTCAAATTAGTCTGTGAACTAGCCGAAAGCCCTTCAGAAAACTGGTAGGAATGACGTGAGACACATTATGTAAGCAAAGAGAAATATGTTAGATGAAGTTAACGGAGTTATCGATTTTTCCGAATGTACTGAAACTCCGTGTGATGGCATTCGTTTATCCAATCGGGTTTGATTCGAGCCTGGTTGCCTATTTGGGTGACGATGTTCGATTCCGTCATATGCAATGTTTATTCGCTTCTTCATGATAAGCATAGTCACAAATTGTTATCGACGTTCAGTGCAGTCAGTTCATTCACTTCTTTACCAAATTGATCTGGTAACTAACAGTTAGTGCGTGTCGAATGAATGATTTTCTCTCAGGTCAATGCGGTCACCGGAAAACTGCTGTCGCCGGATCATGGATCACCTGTTGAGAATGATAGAAGTAAGATCACATGGATGTTAAACGTAATTTTCTTTCAGAATTCCCATAATGTGTTTAGAGTTGCATATGCTTTCACCCTTCACTGTTTCGGTTTGAAAAATCAGTAATAGAAAGGAGTCTGAAGAGATGTCCAGATGCAGTTTAGTTTCGTACCACTAAACTCCTCAGGTCCCTAGTTTTTTTTACACTAAAAAGGCACAATATTATTTGTATGCAAATGGAAAATTATGTAGAAGCCCGTCTCTACAAATGTGTCTCCTTAAGCATTTGACAATCTACATTTTTAAAAAGTCTCTAATAATTCAGGTTCACTTTCCAAGTCCTATGTTCCTTCCTAGGAAATTTTGACATCCAGATTCAGATCCGTATCACTTGGTAGCCTAACCGCTACACTGTCCGGAGACGTTTATTTCGCAAACACACTACACACCTGGCCAAAACCAGAGCAATCATAACACTCTGCACTACTATCTACGTGATGAACATGAAGGGGTGGTGGGCAAGAATTATAGCTTAGGTGGACGACTTCGGTGAAGTTTTGTTCTCTGAGCACAAACATTTTGTGCTGATGATGTCGTTCAGAAGAAGGATGAGAGCTGTGCGACCAAACGAGCCAGCTCAGAGAACAGAACTTCTACAGAAACATGAAAGGGTTCATAATAATGCGTGAGGACCAGTTGTGGTAAAAATATGTATGCTGGGTAGAACACTCTTAAGAACTCTTGAATAAACCAACTCCATTGAATCCACCGTAAATCGAAGCAGCATCCACAGACCTTCCCATAGATGTCACTCCACCAACGATGGGGGGAAGTCAGGATTTCCATCACACAAATTAAGAGTGGGAAGGCAGTAGGACCTGACAGTACAACAGCTGAACCACTGAAGTTAAACATTGAAGAAACTTCAAGTATGCTATTTATTAAGATTTAGGATGAAGAACAAGTGCCGGCAGACGGGGAAGAAGGTCACCTCATCAAGACACGAAAGAAAGGAAATCTGAGAAAACGTGAGAACTATGGAGTCATCATGCTATTGTCAGTGTCAGAGCAAGTTTTCAACAATATTGCTGAACCGAATGAAAGACACAAGCACTTGACAGCATGGATAGGAGAACCTCGTGGGACAATCTTCGACACTAGTGTACTTGAGAACGTCATCGTCATACAGAATTCTTACAACGGACTACAGTGCAAAGTCGTTCATGGAGGGCAGTTGATAGATGAATTCCAAATGAAAACCGGTGTCAGGCAGGGTTGCTTACTCTCTCCCTTCCTCTTCTACATAGTGGTTGACTGGATTATAAAGACCTCAACATCTCAGGACAAGCAATAAATACAGTGGACGGTTTGGATGCATCTAGACTGCTTGGACTGTGCATATGAGCAGAGCAGCTGTCAGCTAGTACCAAAATCAGAATTGTCAATACAAACGTAAAGACAGTTCGATCGAATGGAACTGAAACTTGGAGAACTAAGCAGCCATCATCCGAAAGGTATATGTATTTGTAAACAATTGTACAAACAATTGCACCAGATCTGTTGGATAAACACAGTCAGCAACGACCTACTACGGCAAAGAACAAACCAGCCTCCAACTGAAAGGATTAGGAGAAGACTCTAGAGGTGGATAGGACTGTGCAGAAATATTCAAACTGCATGACGAAGCAAGCGCTAACTTGGAATCCTGAAGGGAAACGGAAAAGTGGAAGGACAATGAACATGCTGAGCCGAGAATTTGAGCCAGACATGAGAAGGATGAATAGCGACTGGAAAGAACTGGAAAAGATTTTCCAGCACAGGGTTAGGTGGAGAGTTCTTGTGAGCGGCCTATGCTCTTTGACGAGGGATAATAGACATACGTAACCAAATAATCCCTGAAAAACCAAAATCCAGAACTGTGTAGATCATGTTAAAAGTACTGAAAAAAGATTGGAAGATAGGGATGGTCGCGAGAATAGAAGTAATGTCAAACCTGACCTCAATCATAAACGTCTTGTTTTAATACCTAACGAAACTGGCGGCAGAGTCCATTTAGTTTCAATTCCCCTGTAAGTAAATACAAATTCCGATTGTGGCTCTGTACTGCGGGCCTGTTTTATATGTATTGGCTTTTGTTTCATCTTCAGTGTTTTTCTGTTAGGTTTGGTTTGGGATCAAAGTTATTCGCCCTTTAATATCAACATTCTGGACAAAGCTGGAAGGACTGCTTGCTTAGAGACAGCCGGTCGGAATAACAAGTCTTCAGATAGTTACTTAATCTCTAATAAATCAGAAATTTTACGTGAGCCTCACACATCGAGATGGACCGCTGGCGTCACGCTGGCTTCAAAATCAAGCCATACCGATTCTATTCGTAAGGAGGTTCTGTTGTAAGTTTGCTCCGTTTGAATAATTCCGAATTAGCATTCTTAATAAGCTTACTGCTGAAAATTTCGAACAACAGGGTGATAAACTTCTTAGCTTAGATATCACTTCAACTTCCCTTCATGTCATTGCTCAATTAGTAAGCTTATTGTCAGTACTTACCATTTTAGATTTATCAAAAAGCCATCAATGAACCAAAATTTACTTCTTTGTACGCCCAATTGTGTTTAAAACTATGCAGTAGTGTCCCTAATTTCGAGTCAGGAGGTTCTCAATCGGTAAATTAATTGAATTGTTAACCTCCCTTCAGACTTTTCAGATATTCTTAATTAAGTGTTGTGAAGATGAGTTCAAGACCAGAGATGTTTGTGATGATCAGATCTCACGTCAGAAGTGCTTGGGGAATCTACGCTTCATCGCTGAACTTGGGATTTGCGGTGTTATGTCCGAAAAAGTTCTGCATAACTGTGTTCAAGAACTTCTTTCCAGGAAAGGCCAACTTAGTTCAGTCAACGATTCGGAGATACATACATCTGCGCAGGAAAAAAACAAAACAGGCGAGTAAACTTTTATAGTACAGAGTAGAATTTTCGTAAGTATCATGTTAGGTCAAAAAAGTCTTGTTCATTAGGTCAGTGAATCGATGTATGAAATGTCAGTCTAATTGGTTCAGGAATATGTATATCTTTCTTTTCAGCAGCTGCTCTGGGCTTGATACAAAAGCCTGCAGGCGCTCACTAATCCCCCGTTGATCTTGTTTTAGACTATCAGACCTAAACCGTTGTTTACCCGTTCGCTTGGTACTTTGAAGCTACCTGTTTATTTCTAGGTCGGTAACTTCGATTGCTTTCTACGTAAGAGGAACCAATAAAAATTACTATCATTTTACAACATATCTGCTCATTATTCGAGACTTCAGAACACTTCTGAGTAGGTTAGTGGGTGCCTATTTTAAGTTTGTTGATGACTTCTCCTAGGTTTGATGCTTTTATGAGACAGATGGTAATTCATTCCCCTATTCTTCAGTTTAGTTGAGGGAGGTGGCCTCCCTAAGAAAACCACCTGCTTCGGTTTGTGCACCCGGGTAGTATCACAGCCCTCACACATGTCGAATGAGAATGGGGTGGCGCGTATATATTTGGTGCCTCCTTGTACCAATATCTGTGTTAAAATTATCACTACATAAAGTTTAGTTGAAGTGAGACAAGTAACCTTTCTTAGTGGAATTACGACTACTGGCATCAAAGACTACTGTCCCCAAGCTGGATATCTTTAATTATGATTAATCTCTACATTAAATTTCGCTCGTCCATGTTTGTTGAGGTTCATGGATATTCAGTGGAATACGAATTAAATTGGCAGGTTTAGGATCGCCCACCCTAATGGACACATAAGTATTTATCTGTGAGTTGATCCAGATCATCAGTTGGATACTGCTAGCGAAGAACCGGCCTAATGGCTAAATCACTTGAATTTTAATCAGTAGATCATATGTTCAGACTCCATATTGCTTTAGAAAACCAGGTTATACCACCGACCTTTACGGTACGCAATAAATACAGGCATACTCGGTAAATGAATTATATCATTGCTCTAATGTTGTATTGATCATTGTCTTGTCTTAGTTTCCGCTAAGTCAACCCTCATTATAGGTTTTTATGCAGTTGTGTAAATGTTTTTTGCAGCCCATACAATTCGGGAGCGCTCTTTGTCCGCTGACTTGGAATGTCTTTGTCAGTTCTTGACTGCTGTTGGGAAGCACATGGACACACCGAAAGCGAAAAACTTAATGGATCAATATTTTCATCGATTGCGTCGTATATTATCACGCGCTTACGATTCAAATGGATTAACATCCAACAAACATGAAAATGTATCTACGGAAGGAAAAAAGTCGTTTTCGAAGCCGAATGATAACTGCATCTTATCTTCTAGAGTGCGGTTCATGATTGAAGATTTGATAGACCTAAGGGAAAACAATTGGATTCCACGTCGAGCTGGTCAGCGTACTGAAACAAACAAGCCACGTTTCCTTCGAGATATTCGCTTGGAAATATTAAAAGTAAAATTTTGCCGAATGTTTTGTGTCAACGTGAATTTTTAAAAATCTGTCTTCAAAGTATTTTCTTGCCATTAAGTTTGCCTTAACATGAATCAAAGTTCTTATCTTTTATACTGGTGATCACATCCAATAATTGTTAAATTTTGTAGTGGTCCTATCAATTTTGTTAGTGAGTATCAATACTCCACATAAAAATGAAAACACAAAGAGGGACGAAGTAAAAATTGATGACTTTTGGTTTTACTAGTTTGTTAAATCCACTTCATTGAGGATCCAGCAATTGGAATTATCTGAAGCCTATTAAGAATAAGATAAATCCAGTCTATGTTCTTTAATTTCCGAGTTACAATAAGCAAAACGTTACATGTAGTTTATTTACAGGCTACATTATTTTTGCAAATGATGGAGTTGCTTGGAATTGTTTAATTACCAAGAAAAAATATTTCTGCAATCCAATTGATTCGCGTTAGTTGGTAGAGGGAGGTAAGTGCTTCTGTGTACTGAAGTTCATGTGGATGCAAATAAAAATAATACAGTTGTTTTACGGCTAATAATTCATTGGTTCTCAATTATCATGGATTTTATTACATTTGAGCAACATAACGAACTAGTTTTATTTCCTTCTAAGAGACCACTAATTATTCTAACAACCAAATTTGGCGAGACTAATTTATGGACGAACCATCAGATATAAGACGACGAGTCACGAATTCGGGCGTGGAATTCATTCATACATTTGGCTAAATAGAGTTTTGGCATTATAGCTGATGTCAGTTTGTGATGAAAACCTTAAATCTAATTTTTAACCCTAACCATCAACTGTAAATGAGAATTCTAACTTCTGTATAACCCTCATTTAGTCCTAATTAGTAGCTGTTCACTCTCAAGGTCACTTCAGCGTCGCTCAAAGATCGTCCATAAATTATAGTCTCACCCTAAATTCTTCTGTTTTCCATTTCCGCCACATTGTTTTTAATACCGCTTTACTTTTTAGGAATCTGGAGTCCTTGTTGCCCCAACTCCAAGTGAGCGCTCTGTCACACAGCCAGATGTACCTGGAAGTGCTTTTATGGGTCACTCATCAGCTTCAAGTAACTCTTCAGTGAATGGCGAATTTCCTTTCGTAAGTGGTCTGAGCTCTAGTTCATCGAAAAATAATAATGGACTTAATACTGGTGAAGCTAAAAGTTGGATGGAGTTGGCGCGAATGGGTGAAGAACTCTGTCGTCAAAGTCCTCGTGATTTCTGTTTGTTGGATAACAGAAATCGTATTGGAGAGAGCCCCATCAGTCAATTTCATGGACGTCCACAGGCTGGTGTTGCCACAGCTAATCGGCGCTTTTTGTCTAGCAAAAATGATTTGTCCCATTCAAACAATATTCTTCATCAAGGCTCTAAACCAAATAACACTGACAGCTGGACCAAAAGAACGGAGAAAAATGAAGTCAGTAGCGATTTAGAGTGGGTACGTGGTGTCAATTCAAAACTACGGAACTCCGTTATTACTCTGAGTAACGGCATATCAACAACTAATTCTAATTTACCTCCTCGAATGCTCAGAAAACTGGCTGCGGAAGCTGCTGGGAATTTGCAGAATAACTCGACATCAAATGTTTTTAACGAAACAAAACAACCTGTCCATTCGGAAGTACAGAGCTTCCATGCAAAATCCACTTCTGATAATATGACATCCATTTCCAAAAACAGTGCATCCTGCACCACGTCTTTTATCCATTTCATTGGGCAAGTCAGTTCCTCTGATCCTTTTGAGGTAAATCTCTTAAATCTTCTCATTAGTTTTCTGAAACCAAACATCGTTTTTGGACGTAATTCCGTTTTATTCAGAATCTTACTGTAGTCTAAGGATTCAACTCTTCATTCTGTTCCACTGGTTCAAATAATTGGTATTAGTGTTTAATATTTCAAGTTTACTATACTTCTCTATTTTTGTTCTTGGGGTTATTGCTTCATTTGTGTATCGTCTTAACATCAAGATATTTGTGGGTTAGTATACTTAATCAAAGTTTATGCAATGAGAACCAAAAAACCCGAAAGTCCCAATCAGTCACTTTCTGAAAGTCAACGAGCACCTCACTGAGTTTGGTTTTGTGGACTTTGTCAGAAATAACTACGTAAAACCGACAAGAGGCGTCTGTTACTGTAGTAAAAACACATTTTAAATCTCAATCAACCGAAAACACTAGTCTAAGTTATGTGAAACTTAACTTTCCTAACTACAAACGTAGTCTAGTTCCTAGTATGTGTACACAATCAAGCTGTTAGTTAAATATTGACACTGTACACTAGTGACCCTCTCTTTTTACATTTCTAGTGTCTGTTTACTTTGATAATACATGAATATAGTATTCTATTTAATGACATTCAGTGATGATATCAGTTTATCTCTGATTGGTTTTGTACTTGGATTGTTGTCCCGACCCACTTATTAAACACGTATGACTGACCTTCATTTGTTTGGGTTTTTTTCGAAGCCTGCATACCTGCAAAAAGAAAGGTTATCGGTCAGTGGTGGAGATGAAGTCAGTACCCAAAAACCTGTTTGGTCTTATCCTAAATGTGTTCCAAACACGGCGATTTATGGTAGCTCAAATCCAGCTCTTCCGTTTAAACCACAATCTTCTGTTTCACGTCCTCACTTAATAAACAAACCGAATTTCCCGGATATTCAAGCAGCAGTTCAGAAACCATGTAATCGTAAATTTGACCAGGTTAGATCATCTAATTTGAACAACATGGTCCAGTCATCAAACAATCTTGCTGAAAACAATTACAATACCACGCACGCTGTTGATGAAAACAGGAAAATCGCCCTTAGATTAGTAAGTTTTTGTAGTCATTTTTTATTGTAATGTTAACCTGCAAGATCTAAATATTACATCTGTAGCCTTATTGGCGAATGCCATCGGTTTATACAATTTCGCACAACCAAAACCAACTTCAATGGAAGGGCTAGATCTTGTCGGGTCTGAGGTCTATGTGAAGGATTGAGTTAAATAGCTGAGGGATCGTCCCAAGACTGGGTTTCGGTTGACAGCTACTTTTGCACTTTAAAAATATGAAATGATGGATGTTATCAAATAAGGTTTTAATAATATGAGTTTTGGATTATTAGAACGAAGAGTGCAAACCGGTAAATGAAATGTAATAACCTGGTATTACTGAGTGCTAACTACTTACAAGAACGAATTATTTAATTATGTTCCCTGTTGTATAGATATCAAGAAACATGAGCACTGAACAAAAAACTTGATTAAATAAAAAAAACGTACAAACTATTAACAAAAAAAATTACTCACCCTTCAGTCAGTTAAAACCTGACTATTAGGGGTAATTCTTATCCATCATATCAGTTATACGTAGTTTCGGCTTATACTGTCATTGAACGAAACCCGGAGCTATTTTCCCTATTTTGTAAAATCAAACACTCAGACGTAGTAACTTGGGTAGCTAATCATTCTATAAGATAAACATTTATTTATTTAAACTATACTTTCATTTAGCAAAGTTCTTTTATAAATTTTCTATTCACTTTCTAGATGTGAGCGTAGCGTCATTATATTGCTATGTAGTTAAGATTCCTATATGGGTATTAAGTAAAACAGTAATTAGAGCACAGAGATGTTTCTTTCGATTTTTCACCATGTATATATATATATATATATATATATCTCAAGGAACAATGTTTTAGTCTCTAACAATTAATAATAGTAATAAGCATTCACCGGGTACCTTTGTATGAGCTACACTAGTCAGTCAGCTACAACGTAGGATCAGGCACATATATGCATCGGTCCAAGTTGCCATACCTCATTAACGCAACAAGATGGACACCGGATTCATAAAAGTAGTTAATTCAGAGGTCGTAATATATAAAAGAAAGATTGCAATAAGGATATAGTACAGGAAGAAAGAATTAGTTCGTAGAAAGAAAGATATGAAGCAATTTTAATCTCTTAGTTTAAGGGAAGACAGAGAGTGTATACACCGACGCCATTGTGATCGATTCTGAGCCATGTCACCAAGAGTCTCCAACCATTGGTTACGATAGTCACGCGGACCCCAACCAAGTAGTCTGTATCGACCAACATGGCTCAGACTAGAAGCTAGTGACTTCAAGCATTGATGCCACGTTTTGATTTGGCTGCCCCTAACTTTCTTCCAGCCATCCCGAACACCGGTTAGCATTGCACGTCGTGGTAATCGGTGTTTCAGCATACGTAACACGTGGCCCAACCATCTCAATCGATGAAGATTAACAACGTCATCGACTGATTTACCATCATTCCCTAATACCCTGCGTCTAACCTCACTATTACTTACCCGGTGATCCCAGCAGACGCCAGCAATATTTCTAAGGCATCTGTGGTCAAATACTAGTAGCTTACGAGTGTCTTCTACTCTTAATGGCCATGTTTCGCTGCCGTAAATTAAAACAGAACAGACTGCCGCGCAGTATACTCATCCTTTTATTGATAGTCGGATATCTCGCCTTCGCCATAGGTGACGTTGGCAAAAGCCAAACGAGCTTTTCGAATCCGTGCTGAGATTTTGTCAGACACCAACCCATTAGGGCAGATCAGACTTCCAAGATAAGTGAAGCTGTCAACGCTTTCGACTACTTCATTCCCTATCCTTAGTTTAGGTGTTGACGCAGACCAGTCCTGAAGCAGCAGCTTGCATTTAGAGGGAGAGAAGCGCATTCCAAACATTCTGGCATTGTTGCTTAGTGCTACCAAAAGACTGCATTTTATCAGCGTCTTCACCAAACAGGACTGTGTCATCTGCGTATTCTAAGTCGATAAGTGGACCTCCTGGTAGGAGATCAATACCCGAGAATTCAGTCGACGAGAGTGTTATTTCCATCAATAGGTCTATGATGAAGTTAAACAAAAATGGAGAAATTGGACAGCCTTGACGGACACCACTTGAGGTTGCAAAAGCAGATGACAGTTCGCCATAAGCTCTGACTCGACTGGTAATGTTCGAGTAAATAGCCTTCACAAGGTTTATGTACTTCCAAGGTACGCCTTTCAATGACAGACACTGCCACAGAATCTCGCGGTCTACCGAGTCAAATGCTGCTTTTAAGTCAAGAAAGACCACCATTGTCGGACGCCGATAAGTATGCCTGTGTTTTAGAATCTGACGAATGGTGAATATGTGGTCGATGCAGCTACGACCAGGTCTGAAGCCAGCTTGATTCTCTCGTGTTTGCAGTTCACGAGTCTTAGTTAGGCGTCTGATAATTATCGAGGCTAGTATTTTCGATACCCGATCGAAGCTGCTACCTTGACGCGGTGGTCGGGCTTGCCTATCGTGATGACCCAACCGAGCTATATTGGCTGGAACATATGTTCCTGCAGGTTCTACCGTGCCAGGCAGGTCGATTGGTGAACGGTAAGACTAAAAGCAGCAACTCAAGGTCTGAGGGCGAAGTCGTACTGCTGACTATAGAGGGGTGTGACAGCAGTAAGGTGTTTCCCTCGGACAACCAGCATGACAGCGATGCTGCCTTCCCACAAGGAGGGGTGGGGTTAGAAAAGGTCGACCCTAAAAATGTCACACCTGACCTTACCTCACGGATTTCCGTCTCCGGCGGTAAGGCTCTTTGAAGAACGGAGCTAACACGTCAAAAACCTTCCACAAAAAGGCCGTGCGCGACAGGCCTCAAGCAGCTGTCCCTTGGGCTCTGCGGTCACGCTCCCAGGTCTTTGAGACCAACACTAATCCAATTTCCTTTTCAGGTTCCTCAAGAAATACCCTTCCACGGTGTGGGCAGCCGGGAAGTGACATCAGCCCTCATACCCGTAACAGCACAAGAGACCAAGGTGGTCACATTCAAATCCTTCCTACACTTCCTAATACCTCTCTTATCTCCCCGACTAACCCTCCTCACGTCTCTTTATCACCTCGCATTGCTAGGGCAAACGATTCGAGTACGTGGATCGCCATTCCCGGTCTCCTGAAACCACGCTCTAAACTACACGTAGGAGCTTTTAACGTACGAACACTTTGCCAAATAGGACAGCAGGCTTCCTTAGCTAAAACTTTAGAATCTCGCGCCATCGATGTGTGCTGCGTCTCCGAAACGCGCATACAGGATCCGAGTAGCGTCATTCATTTGACCTCACCATGCCAAAATGAAGAACCGACTCGATTTACGCTTCGTGTATCTGGAAGCCCTGATTCTGCTTATTATTATTATTCATTCTCAACCCAGGAGATTGGATCGATGGGCAGAACACTTTAGGGATCAGTTCAACTGGCCTTCAGCCACACTTCGGTTTCCCACGATCTCTAGTCAACCTGAATGGCAAGTTAATGTAGGTCCTCCGTCCCTTTACGAAGTTGAAAAAGCCATAGGAAATCTGAAACGAGGGAGAGCAGCAGGCCCTGACAGGTTTACTCCTGAGATTTTTAAGGATGGTGGTCCAGTATTAGCAATGAGATTAACCGAGGTCTTAGGTAGAATTTGGGAACTGAACGTAATCCCATCTGATTGGTCTCAATCACTGATTGTGACAGTCTATAAGAAAGGACAAAAGTCCTCTTGTGACAATCACAGAGGAATCAGTTTGACTAATATAGTGTCTAAAATATTAGCTTCAACAATACTTCGACGCCTAACTAAAGCTCGTGAAGAGTAGACTAGAGAAAATCAGGCTGGTTTTCGACCTGGGCGTGGTTGTATAGACCAGATATTCACACTACGTCAGGTCCTAGGACATAGACTCACATTCAGACGCCCCACAATGGTAGTATTTCTCGACCTTAAGGCGGCATTCGACTCTGTTGATCGTGAGGTTCTATGGCAGTGTTTGTCACTGAAAGGAGTACCAAAGAAGTACATTAACCTTGTAAGGGCTCTGTACTCGAACACAACAGGTCGAGTGAGAGCTTATGGCGAACTGTCATCAGAATTGATCACCTCAAGTGGTGTTCTTCAGGGCTGTCCACTCTCCCCATTCTTGTTCAACTTTGTCATTGACGTACTTTTAGAGATAACACTCTCCTCATCTAAATTTCCAGGGGTTGAACTCCTACCTTGTGATTCACTTGTTGACTTAGAATATGCTGATGACATAGTTTTATGTGGTGAAGACGCTGACAAAATGCAGAGTCTTCTGACCACTCTAAGCAACAATGCAAGCATGTTCGGGATGCGATTCTCTCCCTCGAAATGCAAAATGTTGCTTCAGGATTGGGTTGCATTGACACCCGAACTAATGATAGGGAGTGAAGTAATTGAGCGTGTCGATCGCTTCACTTTACTTGGAAGTCTCATCAGCCCTTGTGGTTTAGTGTGTGACGAAATCTCAGCACGGATACAGAAGGCTCGACTAGCTTTTGCCAACTTGCGTCATTTATGGCGTAGGCGAGATATCCGTCTATCAAACAAAGGATGTGTTTACTGCGCAGCAGTTCGTTCCGTCCTACTTTATGGCAGTGAAACATGGCCGGTAAGAGTAGAGGATATCCGTAGGTTACTAGTATTTGATCATAGGTGTCTTCGAAACATTTCTCGTATATCATGGGACCATCGAGTAAGTAACACAGTTGTTAGGAAACGGGTACTAAGTAAGGATGGCAAATCAATTGATGAAGTAGTGAAACTTCATCAGTTGAGATGGCTGGGACACGTGTTACGTATGCCCAACGACCGACTGCCTCGACGTGCTATGTTCAGTGGTATAGGAGTAGGTTGCAAGAAAGCTAGGGGCGGCCAAACCGAAACATGGTACAAGTCCATGAAGTCACTGACAAGTGAACTGAGCCATGTTGGTAGGTGTAGACTACGTGGTTGGGGACCGCGAGATGATAGCAACCGATGGTTAGAGACCCTGAATGACATGGCTCAAAATCGTTTGCAATGGCGCATGTGCATCCACTCTCTGTGTTCTCCCAAATTCTAATCTGAATTCATGTCCCTTTTTTCCTCTTTCCAAATTTATTTCACTGGATTATACTCTTTAAATAACATCTCCAAACCCTAATCTTCCCGATTACTGCTTATACTCTTATTACCTCTACCACTACGGGATCTGAATCGACAACTGCATCTTTGTGCTATTGTGGTGTGGCAACTCGAACTGATGTACGTACATACGAAGTTCTACGTTGTTACTGACTGACTGACTAAACTAATCCCTCTGGTTGTCACAAGATGATTTTGACCCTTTCTTATATATTGGGACGATAAGTGATTGTGACCAGTCAGATGGAATAACGTCTAACTCCCAGATCTTAGCTAAAATATTAGTCAACCTAATCGCTAAAATTGGACCACCATCCTTAAAGACCTCTGGAGCCAATCCATCTGGACCAGCTGCCCTTCCTCGTTTCAGAATAACTATAGCCTTTTGAACTTCTGCTAGTGTTGGGGGACCTACTTCAATATCCCATCCACATTGTCTGGGAATGGAGGGTAGTTGTAGAGTAGCTGGAGGCCAGCTGAACTGTTCTCTGAAATGTTCCGCCTATCGTTCTAAACGTCTGGACTGAGAGCAGATGAGGGTATTGTCTTTTACCGGAACAGTCGGACTTACACTTGACTTATTAATTCCAGTTTCTTTTATTAGTCTGTAGAGCTGTCTTGTGTTCCCTATAGCCGCCGCCTTTCCCATCTCTTTTGCTTTCGTTGTCCATCACTGCTCACGGTCGTTCCTTAGACTTTTGCCTAACCTAGATCTGATTTGTTTTCGCTCTTCATCGTGTTCAGAGCCTGATGGGATGAGTTTACGAGAATCGATCAGTGCAATTGGCCTAGAGGAAGTCCATTGGTTCTTTGTAACCCTGTGGTTTAAATCACTGATAAATGTCACTGCTGTTTCCACAGCAGTTTGCATAGCTTTCCAAGCAACATCTGGGTCAACCTCGTTTTCAGAACTATCTAATTGTGACCTCAGTTGTTCCTGGAACCTACTTTTGGTTTTCTCGCTACTCAATTCAGTCCTGGTGGCTCTTTTTAGTGTGGCTTTTTTGCGTCCAGTGAGGCGCAAGCAGATGCGTGCCCGTATTAGGGCGTGGTTGGAGTCCAAGCAGATACTCCAGAATGAGCGACAATCTTCTACCGACTCTCTCCAACGATGACTGATGGCAATATGGTCTATTTGAGTCCATCGTTGCTTTGGTGTAGAGGGTCGCCATATAAGACAATGTCTCTCCTTATGCTTAAAATCAGTGTGTGCTAAAAATAAACGATTGTCTGAGCACAGTTGCAGCAGACGATCACCATCATCTGTTCGTTGTGCCGGAATACTAAAATACCCACCTAAATGCCTTTTTGTTTGGTTTAAACTACCTATCTGGACACTAAAGTCACCTGCTACGAGTACTATGTCTGAACGTTTAGCTTTCTGCAGAAGTTCATATAGCTTTCTGTAAAATTCATCTTTCACTTCATATAAGCTGCAGTCGGTGGGAGCGTAGGCAGAAACGACAAAAAGGTAACGACGTGTCCCTATCCTTCCGACTTCTTACGGAGCCGAACAGCACATAAACGACTGTTAACGGGGATCCACTCTAACAGTGCTTGTTCCGCCTTCATGCTTAGTGGTATGCCTACTCCTGCCAGTCCACGAGAGCTGGCCGTCGGGTCACCAGATACACGGAGGGTGTATCTCGTTGGCTTTCCGTTTTGCTGAGGTGAGGTCAAGTGAATGACCACACTGGAATCCTGTATGCATGTTTCAGAGATTCTAGGGTTCTAGCCAGGGAAGCCTGTTGACAGATTTGACATAGGGTTCGTACGTTGAAGGCTTTAATGTGTAGTTTGGAGCAAGGTTTTAGTAGACGTGGGACAGTGTTTTGAGCACTAGAATCGTTGGCTATGGTGACACTTGAGGGGGAAGCCGAAAAAGGAAGTTTAGAGGTAAAACTCGATGTAGGAGGAATAATAGGAAGTGAAGACGGAGGTTGATTATGAATACAGTGGTCTTGAGTGCTGTTAGAGGTATGAGGGTGGTTATTAACTTCCCGGTTGCCCACACCGTGGAAGGGTTCTTCTGGAGGTACCTGAAAAGGAAATTGGATTAGAGGTGGTCTTAGTGACCTGAGAGCGTGACTGCATAACCCAAGGGACAACTGCTTGAGGTCGGTCACACACGACGTTTTTATGGGTAATTTTTGTGTTAGCTCCGTACTTGTTGAGACCTTACCGCCGGAGACGGATATCCGTGGGATAAGACGAGGTGTGCATTTATAGGGCCGACCTTTTCTAACCCCACCCCTCCTTGTGGGATGGCAGCATCGCTGTTATGCTGGTTGTCTGAAGGAAACACCTTACTGCTGTTACATCTCTGTACAGTCAGCAGTACGACTTCGCCTTCGGACCTTAAGTTTGTTGCTTTTAGTCTTGCCGCTCTTCAACCGACCTCTCTGACATGGTAGGACCTTGAGGAACGGTTGTTCCAGCCAGTATGGCTCGGTTGCTTCATCACAATAGGCAAGCCGGACCACCACGTCAAGGTAGCAACAACGGTCGGGATGAGCTACACTAAGTGTTTAATGATGCTACTCAGTTGCCCAAACGAAAGTAGGATTATTGGGGCGTAAATCTAAGATTTATTGACTGAAAGTCGAACTCCTTAACCATCAAGCTCATCATGATACCAAATGTATTAACAGAAATAAATTTGATTGCTTTTCACTAAACTTTTAATTTACAGCTCACTTTATTGGGAGATTCTCGTGATCCTATCCTGGTTAAGAATCAATTAAATTCATCGGATTTCAGTCGAATAACAACCGAAGTTCTTGCCGTCGCTGTTTTACATTTATGTGAAGAAGGTGAGACTAGTTGCTTTATTTTTATTCCTAAGTTATATGTTCGAGTTTCAGTTGTGTCCATTAAATTATCCCATTGAAGACTATGTCATTCATACATTTATATCATTACCCTTCATGCTTAAAAGTGGAGTGTATATACGATGAAAAATGCATATTACGGCCTAGGCATGAGAACATGAATTAAAACACAATTATATGAACGAAGAATATCCTTTTCAATAATTTCTCATCAGGTTCTACAATTATAAATCCAATTTAATAATCCATAAAATTCGCCAAGTTTAAGGCAGAGTACATCATTTAAAATTGCAATATGTGAATCAAGAATTGTTGTTTTTCATATAAAACTAAATCAGATCGTTAATGTTGGGGTTGACTGATATAAAGTGTTAACTTGAATCAGTTTATAAGTGAAATGAAATTGTGACCTAAATGATCAGAATAAATATGGTCAATATGGGGTGAGAGAGAATAATGGAATAAAAATCAGAAATTACGTCATGTGTAGAATAATATGAATTAGGTCAGGTATAGTAGATAGGGCTGGATGCTGAATAGATTTCTCAAAAAGTTAGTAAGTGTAATAATAGTGATAAAGATAATAATAATAATGACAATGGTAAAATGTGTGGATAAGTTTAGGATATAAGAATAAACATTAATCGAATGTCTTTTTAAACCATATTCCCACAGTTTAGTTTTTCTTTTCCACTTCATTTTCATTTTGTCTCTTGTTATTTCCATCTCGTGCTAATCAGTTATAGCGACCTGGGCCAACGCACATTTGTTTCATTGATGTTGATGTCTGTCTGACTGTTAAATGGACAACACCATAAAATTAAAGATTCAGACAAATTCTTGTTTGGAAATTTTGACTCATTCGAGATTATATAACAATCGATCTTTGGTTTTCCGCTTGCATATTTATTTTATCACATGTTATTGTCTAAAAATAATGTTCCGTACGTTTTAAATTATCATTCGCTTACATGAGCAGTTGTTCTACTCGGATCGATTATCTTCTCTTTGCTGACGTATAAGACGTCAGAAACTGCAAATTTTTCAGCATTTTCCGGTGACCTTTTTGTCTCATTATTAAGTACCGATCCAACTTCATCGGTTCTATGTGCAAGTACACCCCTAACTTACCATTTATTATTTTTTACGATAAACGTCAACGAGTGGAAATAACGTTTGTCTAGGATTGTTCCTCTTATCACTAATCACGTTTTCAGACATTAAAGATGCTTTAGTGAAGAACATTCTCAATGACATCATTTACTAAGGCTGTAAACTTGTATTTATAGCTCTGCTAAATGACATTGTCCAAAAAAGTTTCCTAGTTGAAACGCTGAAACCCAATGGTTTTCTTTCACTGTTTTCAGGCATCATTATTCTCACAGTGGATCCAAAGGTTAGTAAAAAACGAAATGAAATTTGTACGAAATCACAAATTTATGTCCGAAAATTATTGTGAATCGATCAATTGTTTATCGGATTATCCTGAGATAATTCTTTAGAAATAGTTACTATTCCATTTTACTCTGGTTTTAAAAGCTCTAGGTACGGCATATCAGTTCATAGGTGATGATAAGCTAACAAATATCTACGTTAGTGGGCTTCAGAAATATGTTATAACGCTTAGTAGCTTCTCATAGAAACAATGTAGTAAAACCTAACAGGTTTGTCAAGTGACTCACATTACCGAGATTTATTTAATTAAAACGTTAGTATTATAGTTGCCTATTTGAGGATATTCTTAATAATTGTATACTGTTTTTCAGTGTATATGCTTATCATGTATTCATGAACGCCGATGCAGACCATTTTGATACACATCTAATTTCCAAGAATGCTTTTATGTTACATAGTGTTGTACAATATTTTTAGTTGTTCCAAATATGTTTCTATAGTTATTACAGCTGTTTCAGTCTCACAAGTACACATTCTCATTGGATTTTATTGACTTGTTTGCTTGTATGTCTCATATCTTACCCTAAAAGTAAAATTACTTTTGTTTCCTCAAGGTACTAATCTTAAGTTGGCGGAGGCGGAACCATGTGAATTAGCTGCAATATTAGTAGCATGTGCTGAAAATCTATTGCATCGCGATGCGTCTACATCATTCCTTGCATCTAAGGATAATCGCAAAACGAAACCCACAAAATTGTCGTGTCATCCTTTATCTCTTGTATGGTCAAACCTCCTTAGCAAGATTTTATGTGTGACACAGTTAACTTATTCCAAGTCCAAACTAGCATTATTATCAGCTGCTTTAATTTGGAGTCGTCATATTAGTCTGTCTGAATTTGGTGAGCCCTTACGTGGGGGTAAACATCATCCCTTGTTTTTACTCGTTCTACAACGTTTATCACAAATTGTTAGTGAAGATGGAAGTGAAACAATTTGTATATCTGGAGCGGGATTGAGTGACAGACGTTCCTTGCTCATCCAATTATTTCAAGAGAGTGAATTGCAAATGAATCAAATGGTCCCAGGTTCGTTTTTTCTGTCAAATATTTCCTTTTCAGTTAGACTTTTGTAACCATTTTCTAAGGATTTGAACTATTACTGAAGAATACAGAGGCAGCTACAGTGTATGTTCTGTGTGCTACCATTCAGTTATACATTTACGGAAGCCACTGTACGCTGCCGCCAGTGTGCGTATGAATTAAATGTTTTCGGACTTGAGCACTTTATTCTACGTCATTCTATCTTTGTAATTGTTCAACATATATTTCTAATAGTAGTATTTACTTTTATTACACTTATGATATTTCATCTATAGAAGGGAGTCAAACAAACGAAGCTTTGTTGTCTTTGCTAGAAGAACGTAATTTAGATTTTCTCGTCCCGAGCCTACGATTGTCAACGGAACTATCTCACCTTATTATGGATACTTCATCCTTAGAAGGAAAATGTCCAGAAGAGTCTGACAAAATCACAGCTTCTAAATTCAACGATTACCTTTCAAATCATCCAATTGATGCCGGGATACGAGCATCAGACTACATTCATGCTTGCTTGCCAGTCATTTATGAATATATTCACAGAGTAGGAATTATTGATCTTGGCAGTTTGTCTTCACCCCCCACTTTAATGGCTAGAGAAAAAGCTGCGTGGGAGTGCATAGTACCTCATGTACTTATCGAAGTTTTACGAAGCTCAACAGACCGACAGTTGGATGCTCTTCATGACCTGCAGTCCTTCTGGGTTGATAAAAATATGCCTAAAGGTCAGTATACTTTCAAATTATGTTGTCCAGTAAATCATTTTTATATCAGTTGGTGGTAAAGATTTTTATCATGATAAACCTAATGGAATAATTGAAAACGCTTATTTTGCTTTTATATGGGTTCCTTTGCTGTCATCTTTCAGTTATTTTGCATCCTGTTTGTAGATTTAATTCATTTAACATAGGATGGTAGTGCTTACTCTAAGCTACATCATTTTATGCTTTTTGATGACTTATGAATGTTGTTAATTTGATGTTTAAAAATTACAGGTGTTAAACTTTATTGATGAGTGCATCACAGAAGACAACATGAAGGTCCAGAAGAGTATTTAGTTGAAACATTCAATCACTTGACAGAGTTTCAAACTAACACTGGGTAACTTGACTATATGTTATGTATCCGTAGTCGTTTCTAGGATTTTATCAGAAACGACACTAATAGTCTCACATCAATGAATCAAAAACTTTTCAGTCACATAAAATGTCTTGTTAGTTCCTTATTTTTAAGTTAAATGCGAGCTGCAGCAGATGATACACGGAATTTCTTTGAGTCTATAATAGATAAGACTTACACGGTTTACAAATTTATAATCAACTAATCATCCTTTTTTTCGACATTATCTACGACATTTTGGTCCAAAAGGTACGGTCAGTAGGATCTTCCTATTTACACTCATCCTAATATGAAGTCATCTACCTGGTCTTTATAATCATCATGATTCGTAACTTTTAATTTCACTTATCCTTGTTCTTTTGTTAAGAATCACCGTAAATTGTAGGAACATGTTTCTAGGTAGTACACTTCGCATGGGTCTCATGTGATTATGAGGTGCTAATTTTCGCTGACTGTTGGTGTAGCAAGAATCTCCTAGAGATAACTTCCACACAGCCTGGAATATCCTTAGGTTTCTTGAAAACTCAGTCTTTGACAGATTACTGTGATCTTTATATTCGCACCTATTCATATTGGGAAATGTGATCATGTGCTTTTCGTATCGTATAATGTTGCTTGGTTTAGATTTTCTTTAAAATCGAAGTACTTATATATTAATAGTCACCCTAAACTTACGATAAGGGAAGTTAATTGTCCTTCTTCAAGCCTCTTGACAAACACAGCACTATCTACCTTTGGGAGTATTTTTGTTGCTCATGGTTTCCAGTCTAACTCAATTCGCTTTACATTGTTGACGTCACTCGGTTTGCATCCACTAGTCGGTTAGTAATAAAAGTCTTGAAAATAAATGAATTTCATAGGAACAATTAATCTTCTCTTTTTTGAGTGGTGGCTTAGTGGTTAAGGTGTTCAACCTTCAGGTTTGTCCCCCCTCTTCATCTACCTCGGTCTGAACAACCGGGCAATATCATTAGTCCTCAAACTTAGTGTGTGACTCATACTCAAGTACCTGGCGAGTTAATTAATTTCCATTCTTGTTTTTGAATTATCTTCGTCGGTAGTCGGTGACTAGATCGTTTATTGCTATTAACACTCAAATAAGGACCAAATTGTTTTGACGTCTATTCGATGTACGAAATTTCTAATTCACGCTTAACATTTTGAAACTAATCTCTGTTAAGGAATTGCGTTATTGTAAAAAAGGAAACTATTGGATTATTTGCTCAGTTCAAGTCTCGCGCTATTAATAATTCCCCAATAATTTTATACTAATTAGCTTTCCAGTTGAAGGATAATGTCATAAAAAAGCTTTGTCTAGAAATGAGTTTTGTCAGCACTAAAGTAATGCTCGTTTCATGTTTTATTACAGGGTTTTTGTTTCGTTGTTTTATGAACCTTTATAATTGTGAGCTTGTATGTGAAGACGCCTTTTTATCATGGAAAGAAGAAGTGAATCCCAGTTATCCTGCTAAAGGCCAAGCACTATTTGAGGTACACTGCTTGTCATGTTAATTTGATATTTTATTATAATTAATCAGTGACTTATTATACATTGTAGGATCTAGTTTATATATACATCAGTTCAGGTTGCCACATTATATCAAGAAAACTGTGATATCAGAATATTAGAGATAATAACATCAGTTGTAGTAGAGAGTCAGCATATGTATGGTTCAAGAAGAAAATAAGAATTTGTGGAATGCAAAATCACGAGATAATTTTAAAATTCAGGATCTAAAGGAAGGCAAAAGTAAATGCATCTGTCTCAACGCAACCGATTGTGACTCATGTTACTCAACGTCTCCAACCACTTATCACAGGGTAGCGTACATCTACAAACCAAGAGCTACTAACTTATGCCGTTATTTGCTTTGAAGGTCACTAGTTTGTTTTCCAACCTATTTCTACCCCAACCAACATCGCGCGTGGAATTAGGTGGTGTTTCTGTGGACGCAATACGTATCCCATTCACTGCAGTTGATAAAAATTCACAGTTTCATTAAATAACTTTCCATCTTTGTTTAGTATAACGCTTTACAACCATTAAGTAAAACAAAGCAAACTTCTGAACAGCATACTCCCTCGTCGACAGACGAAGATCTCGCCAACACAACTAATGATGTGAGTTGGCAAACCCAAGCAAGCTGTTTGAATACTAGCCAGGATGAGTAAATTGGTCGGTGCAATCATCTATTTCACTTCATTTGATCAATCCAGACAACAACGCAGACCCGTCCTGAATCAGCGTTTTCTATTCAGAGGAGGAGAACATATCCCAAACATGCATTGTTGCTCGAAGGTGATCAGAAAACTTCCGATCATCTCTCGATTCACTAGTTGTTTTCGTTCATCATTTCTTCCTTTCTATAGGACTTTGAGTTCAATATCCATATTCTGAATTGCATTTTTTGGTGTATGTTTATTTGTCTGTTGGACATACCACCATGGTGTTAATTCACTTTCTTTTTTGCTCTTACCTATTCTCTGATTTATACATGTAGAGAATCCTTCTTACCCACAGAAAAAGTTGACATCCGGTGACCGTCAAAATCTAAGCAAACATCCACTATTACCATATTATTTTTATTTGATAATTTGTTTGTTTCATTGCTTCGGTTTTGTATGTTTGTTATCTTGACATCCTAATTCCTATTAGGGTACGCAAACTATTTTATTAAATCTCTCTTCTTAATTATTTCATCACGGTGACTTTTATTTTCAGGTCAATCGCTGGTTAACGTGGTTAGAAACAGCAGAGGAAGAAGACGAAGAAGACCAATGTAAATCTGATTCAAATGAGGATCATGCAAAGATAATTCAAGAAAGTCCAATGGATTCGGAAAACTCAGAAGCTTCTAAATCTCCCAACCACTTTATTGATATTGAGTCTCACAATATGCCACTGGCCCTGCATCCCAATTCAGCAGCTTTGCGTTCCTGAATAACCCCTTTAGTTTCCGAACTTGATATCAGTTTTGTGTGTTTATATGATAATGATGCCTGTAAATCCTAGATTGTATGTCTTGCATGGAAAATCGGTTTTGAAACCTCGTCTTTACCAAAACAATTTTTCGAACCTTCAATCACATTGGGCTTCAATTTTCCTTATTATATTATTATCAAAAATCCTGACTTTCATTTTACTTCCTGACACTTGGTTACCTAAGTGCAAGGTTGTCTCGTTTATGTAACCATTATTCATGACTTAAGGTGAATAAGTTGCTCTTTGATTTTAGCAGTGGTGAAGTGCCACTGGTAAATGTATCTAAAAAATTGTTACAAGAACCCACATCCAGCTACCAAGTTTCATCAACATTTAATCTCGTTCACTTAATTTTTGTTACCACTGATCCATGTAAACTACAGTACCATATATACACCAATTGCATCGTAAGTTGCATTTCACTGTAACTTCAAGTTTAAGCTTATGTAGTTACACTTCAAATATTTGTACGTTGTCAATGGAAATTATTTCGATATAGGTGATTGAGATCAGTCGTTCTAACTTTTCCTCTAGATAGCCAATATTTTCAGTAATATTAGATTCAGTATGACAGGTGTTATCAGATAAAATTACGTTTTGGTACACAGTTATTATCCATCGTGAAGAATAATACTAAATTTATTGTTGATTGGTCATACATGCATGAGCATTGCAATTATACATATGGGCATAGAAGCACATTTACATGGGATGGTGGAGAGGAAATTCCAAAAAACACCAGAGAAGTTTTAGAAGCATGGCACTCAGGTCAATCAGCAATCAAGAAGCACATTGAAATCGATCCAATTTATCAACCAATCAGGAAAATTATGCACAAATATAGGAACGAAAATCAAACTAATGGGAGACAACCAAAAACAAAGAAGTAAACAATGACAAATTTAAGGTCAATAAGAACCAATGAAACTGCACGGATACTCCACATTCTCTTCAATAAGATTTGGGATGAAGAACAAGTACCAACAGACTGGAAAGAAGGACTACTGATCAAAATACCGAAGAAAGGCGATCTCAGCAAGTGTGATAACTACAGGGGCATCACTCTTCTCTCAATACCGGGAAAAGTCTTCAACAGAGTATTGTTAAACAGGATGAAGGACTGCGTAGACGCCCAACTTCGTGACCAACAGGCAGGATTCCGTAAGGATAGATCGTGTACAGACCAAATCGCAACTCTACGGATCATTGTGGAACAATCAATTGAATGGAATTCATCACTCTACATCAACTTCATTGACTACGAAAAGGCATTTGATAGCGTGGACAGAACAACACTATGGAAACTTCTTCGACACTACGGCGTGCCTCAGAAGATAGTCAATATCATACAGAACTCATATGATGGATTACACTGCAAAATTGTGCATGGAGGACAGTTGACAAAGTCGTTCGAAGTGAAGACCGGTGTCAGGCAAGGTTGCTTACTCTCACCCTTTCTCTTTCTCCTGGTGATCGACTGGATCATGAAGACGTCAACGTCTGAAGGAAAGCGCGGGATACAATGGACATCTAAGATGGAGTTGGATGATCTAGACTTCGCAGACGATCTGGCCCTTCTATCCCAAACGCAACAACAGATGCAGGAGAAGACAAACAGTGTGGCAGCAGCCTCAGCAGCAGTAGGTCTCAATATACACAAAGGGAAAAGCAGGATTCTCCGATACAACACAGAATGCACCAATCCAATCACAATTGACGGAGAAGATTTGGAAGATGTAAAAACCTTTACGTATTTGGGCAGCATCATTGATGAACAGGGTGGATCTGATGCAGATGTGAGGGCGCGGATCGGCAAAGCAAGAGCAGCATATTTACAACTGAAGAACATCTGGAACTCAAAGCAACTGTCAACCAACACCAAGGTCAGGATTTTCAATACAAATGTCAAGACAGTTCTACTGTATGGGGCAGAAACCTGGAGAACTACGAAAGCCATCATCCAGAAAATACAGGTGTTTATCAACAATTGTCTACGCAAAATACTTCGGATCCATTGGCCGGACACTATTAGCAACAACGTACTGTGGGAGAGAACAAACCAGATCCCAGTGGAGGAAGAAATGAGGAAGAAGCGCTGGAAGTGGATAGGACACACATTGAGGAAAGCACCCAACTGCGTCACAAGACAAGCCCTCACATGGAATCCTGAAGGTCAAAGGAGAAGAGGAAGACCAAAGAACACATTACGCCGAGAAATGGAGATAGACATGAGAAAACTGAACAAGAATTGGATGGAACTAGAAAAGAAGGCCCAGGACAGAGTGGGTTGGAGAATGCTGGTCAGCGGCCTATGCTCCATTGGGAGTAACAGGCGTAAGTAAGTAAGTAAGTAAGAACCAATGAACGTTGAGGTGTACAGAACAACGTGTGAGACGCAAATGGAGAAAATGAACACTTCACTTCTATCTGAAGTTTGTGTTGATGATGTCGTTCAGAAGAACGATGAAAGCTCCATGACCAAACCATCTAGCTCAGAGAACAACACTACATCAAGACTTAAATGGATCTGGATTTTAGAGTCGTGGGTTTGTATTTGTTCCATGAGAATACTTCATTAAAATTAGACCGTCCTGAATGATGAATGTTTACCAAATAACCATAAACGTTATTTAAAAAATGAAAGATGAAGATCTGTCTATCGTCAGTTAAAAACCATATTTTATTTTGTAAAAATTTAGAATCCGAGTCTTCAGCCCAAAATATCGACATCTTTCTGTTGTTAGGTACCTCGGTTAAATTCACTGTGAAGGAACTCACCTGACAAATACATGAGGCTATACTGTTTTATGTTCATATTCTTTATATCAGTAAATTAATCATTTCACTAGGCTTAAAGAAACAGTGACGCGAATGACGTAAAATAATAATTGTCTACTGTGAAATGATTGCAAACTCCGAGAATTTCAATGAATTCAGCCGTATCTTTTATGAAGATGTTATTTTGGATATTGTACCTTATGAAACACTTAAATCCAGTAATTTCATTTATAATGTCTATCGGATAGTTTTTGATATGTACATAAGAATCCTCACGAATGAATAAGCTAATCAAAAGCCGGAATTTCACGTACGAACAGGTTCTGAAATTTGTCCTTTGGATTTCATTCAGTGTTGCTTGTATGATGAGTTCGTAGTTTCATTAGACCACGATTGGTTTCCTCAATGTGAACAAAGGAGCAGTCGAAAAATTAGATAGAAATCGCTGAATGGTTTAGATAAATTTTTGGCTAGATTCCTGAACAGGTACTGGTGACTTCATTTGTGTGCCCCATGTTGGAGAATGAGCTTGGTTCTTTGTCGCTTAGAAAGCATTCTTAATCTCGAAATCCTTTTTAGATGAGAAGTTTAACATTCGTAAAATTTCAAGTTATTTCATTTTTAGCTGTTTACGCACCTTGAGTAATCTCTTGAAACTAAATGACAATGTATTTGAAGACTGGAATGCCTTTTGACCACCAGACCTCTTTAATACTGGTGAATCACACTTGAAGTCTTTTCAATTTAATCTCACACCTATCTATAATATGATACTAATATTCGAATCGACTTTGATACATTCTGGGACCCAAGGTCATTTTGAGCAGTGTCTATCCATTTTTACTTTGATATACAAGCTAGTATGACGAAATGTCTCGGTTTTTTCTTCTTACATGTTCAAATGAGCTAGCTATAAGAGATGAGAAGTCAGTTAAGCTGTTCATGTACGTAGCATTCAGTGCTTGTTTTGTAATATTTGATTAAAAAAGAACAAATTTTAAAATAGGAAGTATACACTTTTGGGACGTTTACTTATTCTCTTAGCGTGAATAAGAATTTCCTGCTTTACATCTCCGTGGTAGTACTTGTAACTACGTTAGTACGAAGTGCAGACATATTGATTTATTCAATAAAAGTTTCTTCGAATTTAACTGACATATTTACTTTACATGTATACGTGTTTTCACCTTACGAATGGGAAGTTACTGCAAATACTGGTGTAGACCTCGAACAATTTTCCAGGGAGTCAGAGAATATTTATAACAATTTACCATACGGGGAATGATTCTTACCCGGCTTTTGAGAAAAATAGTGTTTATCATATTTCTGTCTGATTTAGTAATCTCTGATCATATAAATTTAATTTCACTTGCTTGAAAAGTTTGACCACTAAAACAATCTGTCCCTTTCCTTATGAATCAATACGATTAATGCAGCCAATATCAACTCTTAGAATTAAAATTATCCTATGAGAGTAATTAAATATACTTTTTTATTCTAACTCTGAATAAATTAACAATTCACTTTCAAAATGGGGCTTTGTGGAGATTAGTAATTTTAATCGTTGAGTTCATGAATCCATCTAAGCTAGAACACCATCGAAAACGTGAAGGACGTTCGTTTCATCTTAATGTGGAACACCTCAGCAGTTCTCATCCATCATGAGCTGATTAGTGACTAGCTTCGAAAGGTGATTCTCGAAGTTCTAGTGAGAAGTCGTAACCAGTGTAGTTGAATCCGTGTAGGGTTTGAGATAGTTACCCATCGAGGACAATGGAAGATGGTCCCGCAATATCGTGAATTAGTTGAAGTTAGACATTAACAGTGTTGTAGGTGTCATTACCAAGGTTTGATTTGATAATTTCGAATAAATTGAGCATTGGGTTGATTGTTATAAATAAAAATAATATATTTGTAATATCCCAATGAGTACTATTTAAACTTGGATTAATTTAATTTGGTTATTTATTCTCTGAAGAAGTGACTTACACTAAGCCACGAAACGTCAGAAAAATCCAATTTTCTACTCATTGGGATATTACAAATATATTATTTTTATTTATTAACAGTGTTGGATGCCGTCTCAGTGGTCTAGATGTTGGGCATTCTCTCGTGAGCCCGAAGGTCTTGGATTCGAGTCCCGTGTATGGGGTCGTGGATGAGCACTTCAGGAGAGTCCTATACTAGGACGAAACGACCGTCCAGTACCTTCAGGTTTCCAATGGTGGTCTAGCTAAGATCGATTCATGAATTCAACTATTAAAATTTCTATTTACTAATGTATCGCCCACCAACACTCATCTATAATCTCACTTTCTGTTTAGACAGACAGCGGTTATTTCATGATAATATTTAAAAATAAGATTCCTG